ACCCACCCATCCACCCATCCACCCACCCATCCATACCCATCCACCCATCCACCCATCCATCCACCCACCCATCCATCCATCCACCCATCCATCCTCTCTTTCCACCCATCTTTCCTTCTGTCTGTCTGTCCACCCAGCCATCTGTCCACCCACTCACTCAGTCACCCATCCATCTGCCCTCCCTCGCACCTACCCACGTGTCTGTCCCAGCACCCACCCGTCTATCCAACCACCCATCTCCCCCCGTCTGATGTCCACACAGTGCCGTCACCGGCCAGTTCCCTGATTATCCAGACGAGTCACTAGGCGGTTCCTGCCTGATCTTTGCTGACAAGACTCCAGAGCAGGTACCCTGGGAGTGGGGACAGGAGGTTTTCTGTGGCAGACAAAGCCCAAGGTCACAGGGAGTAGAGAGTGTAAGCTGAGCATGGTGGTAGGTGGGAGGGTCAGCTCCAACGGAGGCAGATGTGGCCATGACAGGGGCAGATGGTGCCTAGAAAGTCGGTGTGGCTGGAAAAGACAGCCCTGACCGTGAAGAGGAAACGGTCTGGGACAGTTGTGGCTCCAGGTCCCCACGGCACAGGAGTGAGCAACAGCCTTGCTCAGAACGGCCCTTTCTCAAGGAGCCGAGAGCAGTCTACATGCTCGGCCATCTGGACCTGAGCAGAGTCCTTGGCCCCTGGAATCCTGGTCCACGCCGTCCCAGGCCACGGGCTCTCTTGCTCCTGTGAGGGTGCCTGGTCTCCAAACACCTGTCATTGGCCACAGGTGAGAATGGAACTGCAGGTGCAGCCCCAGGAGGGCAAAAAGGTGAAAGAGACGAGCAAAGACGGAGACCAGGACAAAAAAGAGGAGAAAAAGAAAGAGAAGGAAGAAAAGGCCAAGAAGGGGGTAAGGCAGCCCCTGGCACGGCGGGCGAGGCAGAACCAGGCCGGCCAGGGTGAGGGTCAAGCAGAGATGGCAACGGGCGGAGGTGAAGCGGTCCGGGTCAAAACTTGTTTCCGTTCTAGGAAGCGGAAACGATGTTGAAAGTGTCGCCCTCTAAGTTTATTCCTGGGATCAGCGCGGAACACCAGGAATACATAAGTAAGAGGGGGTGCACGGGGTATGTCAGTCGTGGGCCTTGGCCACGGGGAGCACGGGCACCTGCTGCGTGGATGTGAGGCGGCCACTGTGTTATGGAAGGATGGCGGCGATGCCCTGGGTCGGGGCGTTACGGGTTTGGGTCTGAATCCTGCGCCCACGGGCCTCGGTGAAGCCCCGGATAGGAGCGGGGCCAAGTGGGGACGGGGAGCGCCCGGTGCCAGCGTGCGCTGTGTGTGCGTGTGCGTGTGGGACTCCAGCTTCACACACCCCTCCTTTTGTGCCATCAGAAGTGTGGGCGAACCGGAATGGGAGCAAACACCCCAGCCAGAGCTTTGACCCAGAGATCCTCCGCGAGGAGAAGCAGAAGGAGGTGGAAGCGGAGCTCCGTGTGCAGGTGAGAGGCTGTGGGGGCCCCGGGGCCGCCCCACCGGGCCCTCCCCACTGCGGGCCCCTCCTCCCACCGCCTGCCCTCTCCTGCCTTCAGCTCGCCGCGGTGCCCTGTTCCTCCCCTGCAGGCCTCAAAAGCTGCCCACCCCTGCCTGGCTCGGTGCTTGCTCCACCTGCAGCCCTGGAACCCCGTCTTCCTAAGGCTCCCTCTTGTCCCCTCCCTGTCCCCCGCAGGGACAGTGCAGGGGGGGAGGGAGACAGGGTGGGTCCCTCTGCCTCTTCCCTTCCTGCCCGGGTCTTCTGTGTGAGGCCCCCTCCCTTCTGGCCGCCTGCCCACAGCCCCGGCCATGTGCCCCACACCCGCAGGTGGACGAGCTCATGCGGCAGGAGCTGAAGAGCCTCCGTCTGGCGGTGGACAAGGAGGATGGGAGGCCCATGAAGACTCCAAAGGCAGAGGAGGGGCTGCGGGCAGCCGGGAGGGCACGCAGGGGCAGGGCGGGGCAGGCGGAGGACAGTCGCCCATGGGCCTTTTCCCAAGCAGAGGAAGCCTAGCAAGAAGACTGGGAAGAGGAAGAAGGAGAAAGATCTGACGCCGAACAGGTAGCTCTGTGCCTGCCGTGCCGGGGGTGGTGCCCGTGCCCCGCCCTGGGAGGGGACCTGACCCCGGGTCCTGCTTCTGTGGCTGGGTGGCCTTGGGAGAGTCATGTCACCTCTCCGGACCCTTGGCCCTGTTCGCCAGCTTCCTGCCTTTGAAAATGAGAGTGCAGACTCAGATCTAAATAGGGCTCATGACATCCGCTGCTCCTCACAGGTCCTCCAGCCCTCGCCTCCGTTAGCTCTGTCCCCCCAGAGCCAGCCCCCCCTTGCTTCCCCCACCCTGGCACTGAGGGACCCATCCGCGCCCCTTTCCTCCGGCCCTTCTGGGGTCACCAGTCCACTGATCTCTGCCCTGCCCGCATCTCTCCCCGGGTCTCACACCCTAGAGCTGGTTTCAGGAAGAGGGCGGGGTACCCCAGTGGTGGCGTCTGGGGCATGAGACGCTGATGGGGATTGTCCCCAGGGCTGCTGGCCCTTCTTCCGTCCCCGGCATTTCGGGGGCGCCCGCTGGGGGAGACCTACCGCTGAGACAGTGGGGTGGCTGCATCTTCGGGTCCTGTTCTCTGCTGTGGGTCCTTCTGACCATGGGTGTTGGGGGGGCCCAGAAAGAATTAAAGACATCACAGTGCAGTGACCCCTGAGCGCCCCGTTTAGAGCAGCACAACCCACCATAGCTAAATGTGGGGGGTGGCCGACACGTCCATCAGCAGATGAGTGGACACGGAACACGTGGTACTGTACACAGCGCAGCGCCGCTCGGCCATAAAGGAGGGTTAATCCGAGTCCTTGGTGGGAAAGTGGAGGCACCCGAGACCATGTGAAGCGAAATAAATCAGATACACTTGAGCTTAGGCAGCGAATGGTTTCTCTTGTACGAGAAACCCAAATTATAAATAAAGAGCAAATTAGATTTTTTGCAGCTGGGCAGGGGACCGGGAGCTGGAGGGAGAGAGGCGTAAAGGGATGTAAAAAGATGTGCAGCGCACCTGCACCAGCTCCCCACGAGGAGTGTGATCACTGCGTGCAGACGTGGACCGAGGGACTGTTAAAAACTCGAAGAGGTTATCCTTTAAAAGCACATTGGGCAGGAGACCGCTGCCCCCTCTCCTCTGCCGGCAGCCCCCGCTGTCTCCCTGCCCCTCGCTCCTGATGCCCTTGGGGTCTCTTGTGTCCTCCCCTGCCAGGTCCCTGGAGTCGCTGTATGAAGAGCTTGTCATTTCTGGCCTTCTGAAGAAGAGTGACAGCGTGGCCCTGAAGGACTACATAGGTGAGCCCTCCCTGCGCCTGCCCCAGGCCGCCCAGCCGCTCGTCCAGTGTCACCCGCAGCCCCAGTCCCATTCACCAGGCCGCCCGCCCTGTCCCCTCAGGAGACTGCCTCTACCTGGGGTCTGCGCTGATGTTGGCCAACAAGCTCCCCATGCCCTCCCTGTTTGACATACGACAGAACATGGCCTTGTATGGGGTCCTCCGGCTGGGTGAGGCCTGGGGAAAGAAGGGGCCTTGCTGGGGTTCAGGTCAGGGTGACCAAGGTGGGCACAGCCAGGGTGGGCTTGCCCTCCCCAGGACCCCTGAGTCCCTGTCGGACTCCTGCCTTCCTCAAGGGCTGCTGGGCATCACCCTAGAAATTGAATGAGTCAGGCATGGTGTACACCTCTCATCCCAGCCCTTGGGAGGCTGAGGCAGGAGGAGTTCCACGAGTCAGAGGCCAGCCTGGGCTACACAGCGAGGCTCTCATCTGCCTCCTTGGGCTGTTTCCTTCCTCCAGGCTCCGCAGACATCCACTCGCTGGCCCCCCTCATCCGATCCATCCTCCTGGTGGGCCCCTCCGGTGCGGGGAAGAAGATGCTGGTCCATGCAGTGTGCACGGAAACCGGGGCCCTCCTGTTCGACTTGTCGCCTGGAAACCTGCAGGGCAAATACCCGGGCAAGGCCGGGGCGCAGATGCTCGTGCACATGGTCTTCAAGGTCTAGAGCCAGCTCCACGTTTCTGGGCCTGGGCTGAGATCACAGAGCAGGCTGGGCTTCATGCTCCGGTCACCTCTCTGCTCGTGGGGTGGGTTTCCGGTCTCCCCACCACGCCCTGCCGGGAGCTTGTTCCTCCTGAAGCCCCCGTGCTGGGGAAGGTGGGAGGCAGAGCAGTCTCTTTCCACGGTAAGATGAGGCATGGCCGGGTTTGGTGCACATGTGTCATCCCAGCACTTGGGAGGCTGAGGCAGGAGGATCGCCACATGTTCAAGGCCAGTTCTGGCTACATAATGAGTTCAAGGCCAGCCTGAATTACAAAGTGAGACCCTGTCTCAAAAAAAAAAAAACCATGAGGTGTAATGTGCTCCCCTTATCCCCACGGAAGGCAGTGACTCTGGTTTACACTGAGTGACATGGAGGTGTGCAAAGGGCTGGGAGGGTGTGGGGAGTGCAGCCGGGCCTCGAGGTCAGCCCGAACCCTGGGGTCTGACCAGGTGGGGACATGGCCCTCGCTCTGGGGCATCTTCCGTCTGATTGCTGCCCTGGCCTGTCCAGGTGGCCCGGCTGCTCCAGCCCTCTGTGATCTGGATTGGAGACGCTGAGAAAAATTTCTATAAGAAGATCCCGAAAGAGGAGAGGCAGGTGAGGAGCAGAGGCAGGCAGGGCGGGGCCGAGACACAGGCTAAGGCCTCAACCAGGCCCCCTTCTCTGGAAGGCTCGCCAGCCACTCAGGGTTGCCGTGGGGCTGGGTGTGGGCCTGGCCACCAGGCCCCAACCCAAGGTGACTCCCTTCCTGGAAAGATGGACCCGAAGCGCATCAGGAAGGACCTGGGCAAGGCCGTGCGGCTGCTGCGTCCCGGCGACCGCGTGATGCTCATCGGGACCACGGAGCAGCCGCAGCTGGCGGACATGAAGGGGCTGTGCCGGCTGTACGAGCGCATCCTCCTCGTGCCCCGGCCTGACTACGCTTCCCGCTACGGTGAGGCCCGGCACGTGGGGCTGGGCCAGACGAGCCCTCGCCCCTCGTCCCACCCCTGCCACTGCTGCCTGGGGACGGGCCGGGGCTCTCCGTCCCACGGAGAGGGGCTCTCTCCAAAGACACAGTGCTGCATCCCCCGGGCCCGGTGGAGGTGGCCGCCCCGCCGTCCCGCCCCCTCACGCCGGTGCCCTCCTGCCGCCTGCAGTGCTCTGGAAGCATCTGATAGAGGCCCGGACGCAGGTGAGCCCGAGCCTGGACCTCAGTGCCCTGGCCAGCGTGTCCGATGGCTACACGTCTGGCCACATCCTCCAAGCCAGCCAGGCGGTGCTGAACGACCGGCGGCTCCTGCAGCTGTCCAGGCGGCCTCTGGGGGCCTCAGAGTTCCTGGGGCAGCTGGCGAAGCTGGACCCTGTGTACTGTGAGGAGGAGGAGTCCCTGAAGGTGAGGCCACTGGGCTTGGGGGCCCAGGAAAGAGGCCTTGGGAGGGAAAGGGGCATGCCCCACCCCAGATGGCTGACACTGTCCTGGAGTTGTTTTGGGGTTTTTTGGTCTTTTTAGGACAGGGTCTCCCTGTGCAGTTCAGGCTGGCCTTGAGTTCACTTTGTAGCCCAGGCTGGCCTCAAACTCATAACGATCCTCCTGCCTCAGCCTCCCAAGTGCTGGGATTACAGGCGTGCCCCACCATGCCTGGCTTTGTTTTGTTTTTGAGTAGCCCAGGCTGGCCTCAAACTCACAACCATCTTCCTGCCTCAGCCTCCTGAGTACTGGGATTCCAGGAGTTCATCACCACATCTGTTTGGACTAGAGCATTTGGTGGGGAGCATGGCAAGCCCCAGCTGGGATAGGACCCCCATATTCTGAGGACAGGAGGACACAGGACCCATAGAGAGAGGAGAGTGAGGGTAGCGGAGACCTGAGGGCCGGTCTGTGGGACTAACCCCGTCCCTGCCGACCCAGGACTGGTACTTCAAGACCCCTCTGGGCAAGAAGAGCATGAAGCTTAGCAAGGACCAGGTGGAGGCTGAGGAGGCCAAGCTGGCCAAGGAGAAGAAAAGGAAGTGAAGTCGGGAGCCGATAGTGTCCACTCAGGCAGCGGTGATGGGCAGTGCCCAGGGCCCGAGGGACGGGCAGAAATACAAACGCCAAGGTGGCAGAGACACTGTCTCATCTGTCATCCGTCCTGCGCTCTGCCTCGCCCTGCCCTGTTCTGCCCAGCCTCCTCTGCCCACTTCCCTCTGCCCGTGCCCACATCCTGCCTTCGGGCGGCCACCCGACACCCCCGTCCTTGCCAGCTTGCTGTGCCGGCCTCCAGCTCCTTTGCACCTTGAGGGGCTTGAAGGAGAAGCGGCAGGGAGGGAGGGAGGAAGGAGGAGAGGGGAGGAGGAGGGGTGCGGCGAGCAGAGCGAGGCCGCTGTCCCCCTCCCAGCCCCACCGCTGCAGCTCCCTGCGTGACCCGGGCCTCAGTTTCCTCCCTGTGCCGGCTTGGGCGAGTCCGGTCCAGCGACTCACTGATGGCCCTCTGCCCGAGTTCCACTGTTCCCGCAGACAAGGCTGTGGCCGAGGGCGGGAGGGCGGGAGGGGCTGGGTGGCTGCGGGGACAGAGGGGTCTGTGCCAGGCCCGAGCGCAGGCGGAACCTATGCCCTCTCGCTGCCGTCTTCACCTCCTCCCCCAAAGACCCTCCTGCGCCACATCTGTGTGCGCCCTCTGTCCCCCAGCCAGAGGGTACAGGTGCGTTTGCAGGGCGCCCTTGCTTGGGCCGGGCTGGGTCAGGAACTCCGGGGAGCCCCAGTGCTCTCTGGGAAGAGGCAGAGGGGCACACGGGTGGGCACCTGGGGGAGGGGCAAATGGCTTCCTTCCCTGGTCACCCTCCCCGTTCAGCTCCTCCCAGCCGGGCATTGGGGCAGGGCCAGCAGGGCTATTTATGGGGCTATTTATAGCGGGCCTGCGTGTGTGCCCTGCTGCTTCCACGCTGGCCCCGCTGGGCGAGAGCCCCGCCCCCGCCCCATCCACCCCCGGAGTCTCCCTGAGGCCTGCTGCTCCGGCTTCCTCGTCCGGGACCCGGCCATGCCCAGGGAACGGGGCTCCCCGGCCCTGGGGGGACACCGTCTGGGGCACTTCCTCTCGGCCCCTGCCGGCCCGGCCTGGGGGGCCCCTGCCTGGCCTTCGCCGTTGCCGTGCCGGGACATGGCCCTGCAGAACGCGCTCTATACCGGGGACCTAGCAAGGCTGCAGGACCTCTTCCCCCCGCACAGCACGGCCCACCTGCTGCTGCAGAGCCAGGCCGCGGAGCCCCGCTGGAGCAGCCGCCAGAGGGGTGAGGGGCCGCCCGCGGGGGGCGTACGGCCAGGGCTGGGCTGACCACTGCAGGACAGAGCCCGAGCTCCGGGAAGAGGCGAAGCCCCTGGTTGCTGCTCCCCACCACAAAAACCTTGGCCCAGAAGGGAAGTCATGTGGAGCCCAGAATAGCTCCTGCCGGACCTCGTGGCCAGGCCGGGCTCCAGCTGGGAGCGCAGCGGCCCCGGCCTCCGTCGCTCCGCGTTGCCCTCCTCTCGCCCTCGCTGCCCGTGGCCTCGGCCTCTCCTCCACCGCCTCTTGCCCTTCCTAAGCTCATGAGCTGGTCCCCGGAACAGTGTCGGGGGCAGGGACAGCCCCGGGGTGACACACACGCCCTCTGTGCCAGGCTGGTGGAAAGGCCCGGCAGAGGCTCTGAGGAGCCCCCCGAGTCTGGCCCAGGACCCATCGTCACCCGCACGGCCTCGGGACCTGCCCTCGCCTTCTGGCAGGCGGTGCTGGCGGGGGACGCGGGCTGTGTCTCCCGCATCCTCTCAGACTCCAGTACCGGCCTGGCTCCCGATTCCGTCTTTGATACCAGCGACCCAGAGCGGTGGAGGGATTTCCGCTACAACATCCGCGCTCTGAGTACGGGCTGAGGTCCTGGGGTCCAAGCAGGGCGGGGGCTGCGGGCCGAGCTCGGGGCCCCCTTTGCCTGTGCCACTCTTAGCCTCTGAGGCCCGTGTCCCTCTCTCCCTAGGACTCTGGTCCCTGACGTACCAGGAGGAGCTGACCACCCCGCTGCACGTGGCGGCCAGCCGTGGCCACACGGAGGTCCTGCGGCTGCTGCTGCGGCGGCGGGCTCGGCCCGACAGCGCCCCCGGGGGCCGCACCGCCCTACACGAGGCCTGCGCGGCCGGTCACACCGCCTGCGTCCACGTGCTGCTGGTGGCAGGCGCGGACCCCAACCTCCCTGACCAGGATGGGAAACGCCCCCTGCATCTCTGCCAGGGGCCTGGCACCCTCCAGTGAGTGACCCCCACCCGCACCCTGGCCCCGCTGGGGGAGGCAAGGAGACTGCTCCGGGAGGCCGGGACAGGTTGGGGACGGGCAGGCGTTGCGGGCTGGGGTAGAGGGGCCGGGAAGCACCTACTGCCCATCCCCCACCCCCCACTCTCGGCCCCCCAGGCGTATCCAGGGCTGTGGCAGGGCGCCAGCACCAGGGCCTGCCCTGAGGAAATCATCTAGATCCACCGAGGATAGGTGATGTTGCAGTGAGGTCTTAATCCTCGCTGAGCTGAGCTGATGTCCCAGCCGCCGTCGTAAGCACGTAGGAGCTAAGCCCTGGTCCTGCCCTCGGGGAGCTTGCTGTCCGGGGACCCAGACACCGAAGGACAGAGGGGCCGTAAGGCCGTGCTGTGGGCCCAGTGGGCAGGCAGCTCTGGACTCACAAGCAACCGACAGCCACACCCACACACGGCATGATATTTCCTGTAAGGCATGTTCCTCTGCAGGACCTAAGCAATTCCGATCCGTGTTTAAGGGACCTGGACTTCAGAAATTTTAGTGAACACAGAATCCAGGCAAAGGCAGCCCCAGCGAATCTCTGAACAAATTCCATACGCAGCACAGGCCCCGCTCAACCCTGACGCCACCCCTGCCCAATTTTACGTCTTGCCCTTGAAAAGCACCATGCTGCCCACCCTTCGGGCCCTGGCCGGGTACCTTGTCCCTCTTGTTAACCCGAGCCACCTCCAAAGGACCCCCTGGGGGCCTAGTGATGTTAGGGTCGAAAGTGTGCTCCATACCTACCTGGGTCAACAGGAATTTAACGTGAAGCACAGGAGCTGGGGATTTAGCTCAGTGGCACAGTGCCTGCCTGGCAAGCACAAGGTCCTGAGTTCGATTCCCGGTACCGGAAAACAAAACAAAACAAAAAAAAACCGTGAAGCACGGACAAAGTTGAAAACTTTCTAGTAGCCCAATCAAAAAGTGAAAAAGAGCCGGGCGTGGTGGCGCACTCCTGTAATCCCAGCACTCGGGAGGCTGAGGCTGGAGGATCATTGCGAGTTCGAGACCAGCCTGGGCTACAAAGTGAGCTCACAGCCAGCCTGAACTGCACAGTAAGACCCTGTCTCAAAAAGACAAAAAAAAAAAAAAGTGAAAAAGAGCTTGCTATGATAGTGCACCTCTGTAATCCCAGCTACTTGGGAAGCTGAGGCAGGAGGATTGCGAGTTTGAGCCCAGCCTGAGCAGCATGGCAAGACCCTACCTCAAAATTTAAAATAATAATCATAGTAATAAAAAAGGCTGGGCTATAACTCACAGTTCCCAGGGTTCCATCCCCAGTACTAGAAAAAAGAAAAGGGAAAAATAGGTTCATTTTAAAAATTGTGGTAAAGTACGCATAGCAAAATTTATCATTTTAACCATTTAAAATTGTACAGTTCAGCTCTGTAGCATTAAATAGTAACTTCCCATGCCCTCTGGCAACCACTGTTCTACTTTCTCATTTCTTGCTTCATTTTGTTTTTGAGACAGGGTCTTGCTACACTACTTAGGTTGTGTAGTTTAGGATGACCTTGAACACACAGTGATCCTCCTGCCTCAGCCTCCTGATTGCTACCACACCCAGCTGTACTTTTTGTCTCTATAAATTTGACTACTCTGGGGACCTCATCTAAGTGGATTTTTTCAGTATTTGTCCTTTCATGCCTGGTCTCTTCCACTTAGCATAATGTCCTTGGGGTTCATCCATGCGGTGGCAGGGGTCAGAATCTCCTTCCTTTTCAGGGCTGTGTGCTATTCCATTGATAGTAGATACCACATTTTGTTTATCCATTCATCTGTTGATAGGTATGTGGGTTGCTACCATATTTTGGCTATTGTGGATAAAGCTGCTATGACACTAGCTATACACGTATCTAAGAAACAGGTGACATTCATTTTAATATATTTTATGTAACAGTATTTTCAAAATGTTAATCATTTCAACATGTAATCAAGGGGCTGGGGATTTAGCTCAGCAGCACAACGCCTGCCTTGCAAGCACAAGGTCGAGAGTTTTATTTCTGGTATGGAAGAAAAATAAAATAAAACAAAACAAACAAAACAAAAAAACAAAATCAACATGTAATCAATATAAAATCAGGTTTTTTTGTCTCTTTCAGACAGGGTCTCTCTATGCAGCTCAGGCCGGCCTTGAGCTCACTTTGTAGTCAGTATGCTTTTTACCTTCTTTTCTTTTGTCTTTTTTGAGACGAGGTGTCGCTATATAACTCAGACTGGGCTTGAGCTCACTTTGTAGCTCAGGCTGGTCTCAAACTTGCAACGATCCTCCTGCCTCAGCCTCCTGAGTGCTGGGATGATAGGCGTGCACCACCACACCTGGCTTTTACCTGCTTTTTATATACCAAGTCTTCCGCGTTGGTGTGTGTTTAACACCCGGAGTACACGTCCGTTCGCACTGGCCACACTGCAGAGGTTAGCACCCCAATGCACAGCTGCCTGTGGGACAACACAGCTCCGTGTAACCCCATCTTCTTAGTTCTGGCCACGTTTCAGCCCAGTCATAATCATTCCTTCCTTTACTAAGTACACAAATGTATTTTAAAAATTACTATGAGTTGGGTGCTGTGGCACACACCTGTAATCTCAGCACTCTGGGAGGCTGAGGCAGGAGAATCGCAAGTTCAAGCCCAGCCTGGGCAACTTAGCAAGACCCTGTCTCAAATTTAAACAAACAAACAAACAGGTGAGGCCATAGCTTGGTGCAAATGTCCTGAGTTCAGCCCCCAGAAACTCCTCATGAGGTCCTGTGGTCGCAGACTGTCCCCGTTCCACGCATATAGAGACGGGCGCGGGAGACGAGCTCTCACGCTGTGGCCCTGGGTGCTGGTCACCAGCCCGCACCGCCCCCCAGTGCCATCATGAGCACAGTGGTGGTTTGGGTCCTGGTGCTGGGCATCACTAGCCCCATTTCTGTCTTGTCCACTGCCAAGTACCAGGCGGAGCCCCGCCTCCCATCCCGGCCACGGTGCCCCGCAGCGCCTGGGCCCGCTCTTAGCTGTGTCAACCACACAAGATGCTCAGACCTTAACCGCCTCTGTGACCTGAGTCCTGAGAGTCCCCCAGGTCTGTGGCGAGGCCCGGAGAGGATGCAGCACCGGCCATCTGGCAATTGCTCGTGACCTTGGTTCCCACGGAAGAGGCAGAGGATGACTCCTGCAGAAAGTATTTGGGCTTTAAAAAGGCCATGAAGCCCGATGTGCTGGCACGCACCCATAATTCCCCCATTCAGGAGGCTGAGGCGGGAGGATTGCTGAGTTGGAGGCCAGCCTGAGCTACATAGCGAGGCCTATCTCAAAAAGACCAAAACTCAAGCACGATAAATAAACAAATCCTGCGGAATGCTGCTGGGATGACCGGGGACAGTTCGCTGTGTGCAGAGCAGCGGGAAGGTGGGGCCCGCCCCCACGTTCCTCCACCACTCTCACCCTTCCTAGGTGTGCAGACCTGCTGCTCAGGTTCGGGGCGCGAGTAGACGGTCGGTCTGAGGAGGAGGAGGAGACCCCCTTGCACACGGCTGCCCGGCTTGGCCACGTGGAGCTGGCGGACCTGCTGCTAAGACGGGGTGCATGTCCCGACGCCCGCAATGCTGACGGCTGGACGCCGCTGCTGGCTGCCTGTGACACGCGCTGCCCGTCCCCCGCCGACGCCGAGACCGCCTCGGCCCGCTGTTTCCAGCTGTGCCGCTTGCTGCTCTCGGCGGGGGCAGATGCTGACGCCGCCGACCAGGACCGGCAGCGGCCCCTGCACCTGGCCTGCCGCCGTGGCCACACGGCCGTGGTGGAGCTGCTGCTGTCCTGTGGCGTCAGTGCCAACGCCATGGACTACGGGGGCCACACGGCCCTGCACTGCGCTCTGCAGGGCCCGGCCGCGGCCCTGGCCCAGAGCCCGGAGCACGTGGTGCGCGCTCTGCTCAACCACGGTGCTGTCCGAGTGTGGCCGGGCGCCCTGCCTAAGGTACGGGGGCTGCGGGCGGGGAGGGAGCGCCGTGCGGAGGGCACGGACACCAAGGCCCGTGCCGCAGCTGCCTCTGCCATTCAGCCTGGGCCACGTGGGGACGCAGATTAGGTGCTTCCATCTTCCATTGCTAAGAGGGGAAAAGGCCAGGACTCAGAACAACGAAGTGTGTGCATGTGTGCGTGTGCGTGTGTGGACACACATGGTACACGTGGACTGAGCGGGTGTCAGATGCGTGTGGTGACAGTGGGTCACAAAGGATCCGAATGACAGAAGAGGCGGGACAAATGTGGGCAGCAGGGACTGCTGCAGGGCTTCCTCAGGGGCAGGTGCTAAAGGACGGGGCTCCCACGGTGCTCGGAGTGCATGAGGGACATGCTGGACTGGGCGAGGCTCCCCAGGGTGGAGCATGAGCCCCGTTCCCGGGCTCCTGAGCATCTGTGATGACACAGGGTCCCGCTTGCCGAGCGCGTGGCAGGACACATGCCCGGACCAGCTGCACTGCCCTCGTGGCTGTGCAAGCGCCTTTTGCTGTCATTTTTCAATTTATATCTTACTTTGTCAGTTTCCCCGACGTGCATTCCACAGAAGCCAGGTGCTGAGGATCCCTGGTGGGGGGCCTGGTCCCCTGTGGTGTCTGGCCTGGAGGCGGCTGTATAACATCTCAGACGGCCTGGCCTGCGGGGAGGACACCCGCTCTCCGAGGAGATGGAACTGGCCGTCTGGAGGGTGGCAGAGGAGTCTGGCCCTGCAGGGCATTCCTCCCACCCAGCCCCGCCCCGCCCTGGGCCAGCCCTGCTGTCCTTGCCTCTCCCCTCTGCCCACAAACCCAGAAGCATCTGTCTGGATTCCTAAGCAAGACCAAATAATTAAACAGCCCGAGAGTTCGGCAGATTGGTCTCCCCTTTGGGAAAATACAAGAAAATCAACAATTAACACTAATTAATCTCCTATTAACACCAGATAATTAGGAGACGAGCAATTCCCTGTAATCTGACGGCGGCTCTGACAGCTAATGATTTCCCTGCCAGGCGGGGCAGGAGGAGGACTTGGCACTGCCAGTTGGTTTTCCGGGACCCCACTCCTGTCCGACCCCATCAGCTTGTCTGTGGGGACAAGGAGACCGGCAAAGTGCCCGCTGTCCTTTCCCTAGTGGAGCCAGACACGCTGCCGTACCCAGGTACCCAGCAAGGTGCTTACTCTCTCTGGTCGCGTTTCCTCATCTGCAAACACAGACGGGACAGTTTGCCAGCTCCGCGGGGCTGGCGTGGGGCATGGGTGCACAAGCCTGAAGCTCGGAGGCAGCCCGCCTACAGCTAGCGCCCATTGTGCTGGCTTGTGTTACTCTAAGGGACACGGTGGGTGTGGTGAGCGGCCAGGCATCTCCATGCAGGGAACTTCAGGTGCAGGAGGGTGCGGGTGGGTTGGGGCACGTGCGGGCTTCCCGGAGGAAGCTGGGTGGCCCTTGGCCAGGGAGGAGGAAGAGGCAGGCATCTCCAGTGGGGTGGGCATCCTGGGCACAGATGGAGCTGTCCTTTCCTGGCTCTGAGGAGGAGAAGGGAGAGGCCAACCTGGGCTAGAACACCAGGCCAGAGCTGCTCCGGGAAGCACCATGCAGGGCCAGATGAAGGAGCACAGGCCTGGGCATGTGGGGCGCTTGCTCCAGGGCCCCCCATGTTCTGGACAAGGCCTGGCCTTCCACCTGCTCCCACTGCCACCAGGACAGCCCATGGAGGCAGGGGCTCAAGCCAGGGACATTGTGGGGAGGCCTGTGGGTCGGGCACGTGACGGCTCTTGGCCAGGGTCCAGTGCCCAGGGTCACTGCCTGTCACTTGAGGTCCTGCAAGAGACGGAGGCATGGGCAAGCATGGCGTGGGCGCCGTGGCACCTGTGGGGGCATGCCTGCCTCTTTTTTTTTTTTTTGTCTTTTTGAGACAGGGTCTCGCTGTACAGTTCAGGCTGGCTTGAGCTCACTTTGTAGCCCAGGCTGGTCTCAAACTCGCAACGATCCTCCTGTCTCAGCCTCCCGAGTGCTGGGATTATAGGCGTGCGCCACCACACCTGGCCAGGGCTGCCTTTCTGAGCACCCTCCCAGGCTGCCCCATGGCAGGTCTTGCCACTTTGCCATCTCAGAGATCATCCCATCTAGGAAGAGCCCTTGAGTCCACACCGGGCACACGGGAGGCCATCAGGCAATATCTCCGCAGTGGTAATGGATCTGTTCTCAGAACTCTGCATTGCTGCCATGAGCATCGGGCCTCTGCTTGCCCCTCCGCCCCCCAGTGCCTCAGCGCCTGAGCCCCTCTGTGACTCCCTCCACCACCGCCTCTCCTACAGCTGTCTCTAGCCTGCTCGGCACTGGGTGGATTCTGCTTTACACAGTGATCTTTCATCTGCTCAGGAGCTCGGTCACAGGTCCGGGACCCCTCTCCAGCCAGCGGAAAAGCCCACTCAGAGCCCCGTAGAGGTAGATGGGAGGGCAGGACGGCGTAGTTGTTAAGGGTAAGAAGCCCTGTGCCTGCTTAGGCTGCGGGAAAGACAATTTGAGCACGTTGTCTTTCTGTGCCTCAGTTTCTCTTGTCTGTAAAATGTAGACAATAACAGTCCATGCCCTGTGGGGATGAGGGCCAAGCGTTCATACGTGCAGAGTGCTAAGACAAGCATCCGGGGTACGCTATGCAGAGCAGATGTGCTAGCTGCGGGGCTGGGCATGTAGCTCACCCCCAGCAGCCCCCACCAGAGAAGAAAAAGAACTGTTAGTGTTGTAGCAGTCTCCTGAAGCTGCCACCACTAAGTCCTACAAACCGGGTGACTTAGAGAAACAGATGGGGGGTGTGGACGGGGTGGGTCCCCTCTGGGAGCTCTGACATGCTACCCTGGCTCTTCCCAAGCGCCTCACAGTTGCCCACAACCCGAGGTGTCACTCTGCTGTCTGCCTCTTTGTCACACGGCCTTCTCTGTGTATGTGTCTGTGCCTCTGTTTCATACAGACAGGATTAGGCCCCAGTGATCTCACTTTGACTCCATTCCATCAGCAGGAGGGCTGGGGATTTAGCTCAGCGGCACAGCACCTGCCTGGCAAGCGAGAGGTCATGAGTTCAATTCCCGGTACCGGAAAAAAACAAAAACAAAAACAAAAAAAACATGTGCAGGGATCCTATTTCCAAATGAGGTCACAGAGGGCTGGGACGTAGCTCAGTGGCACAGCGCCTTCCTGGCCAAATGAGGTCACATTCCTAGGTACCAGGCTTAGGACTTCCGTTTAGCTTTTGTGGGAAGGGAAGTCCACCTCCAGCAGCTGCTGTGGAGCTGTCTGGTCACCCTGTGTGGGCCCACGGTGGTGGGGCTGGCACGTCTCTGCCTCCTCCAGGTCCTGGAGCGCTGGCATTCATCCCCGAGGACCATCGAGGTCCTGATGAACACCTACACCGTCGTGAGGCTTCCCGAGGAGGCGGTGGGCCTGATACCTCCCGAAACGCTGCAGGTCAGACTCCAGCCTGGCACCTCGAGATTCCCACCCCCTAAAGGGCAGCCCTGTTGGTCCCCCATAGAAAAGACCCAGGGACCTGCTCCCTCCCCAAGGAGATGTCACAGGGTGCGTTGTAAGAGGTTCCTAGAGGTGCCCTGCAGGCCCCCTGTCACCTGTCCTTGCTGAGCCCTCCCTCTGCCCCCAGAAGCACCGGCGCTTCTACTCTTCGCTCTTCGCCCTGGTGAGGCAGCCGCGGTCCCTGCAGCACCTGAGCCGCTGTGCACTGCGCACACACCTGGCGGGCTGCCTGCCCCTTGCCTTGCCCCGCCTGCCCCTGCCACCCCGCCTGCTCCGCTACCTGCAGCTCGAGTTCGAGGATGTGCTGTACTAGGTGAGAGCGCTGGGCTCCGGGGATGGGCAGGAGGCAACAGAGGGTTGGGGGCGGGCCCTCACCTGAAGCAGCTGGCGGGGGCCAGCGGACACTCGGAAGCCAGGCCTCTCCTTCCAGATGTGCACCGCCTGTGGCCCTGAAGCAGGTGGCCCAGCCCGAAGCAGGTGGCCCCGTTGGCAGCAGGTCCCTCTCCGCGGGGTTCTGATCCCCACCAGAGAGAGGTGGACACGTCACAGCGGCCAGGTGACATCTGATGAAGACAGAGCTAGTGACATTTTCATGGGGCTCCCCAAGCCCCCCCGCCCCAGGCTGCGCAAACCCTGTGTGCACATTAAAATCTCCAGGCCGTTCGGTGCTTTCTCCAACAAGCCGTGCTCAGGCCGGCTCCCTGGCAGGGGCCGTCGGGGTGGGCACTTGCCGGGTCCCCTCCCTGCTCCCTTTGCCATCCACGAGATGTGGCGGAGGACCAGGCCAACCTGTGGCGCACCTCTCGCCCCATGAGATAGCGAATCGCCACCGAGTAAGAGTGTTTTGGCAAAGGCCTGAAGAATGGGTGGAGCGGAGGGGAATGGACGGTAAAAGACGGAGGGGAGCTGTCTGCACAGACCAGCCAATCAAGTGCACTGTGATCCGTGACGTCAAGGGTAGCTGGACAGTTCCCGGGCTCCGGAATGCGCATGCACTGGAGCTGCAACTTTTCCCTCCAACAGCTGTGGGCAAGGCTGAGGGGCGGGGCCTGGTGGGGCGGGGCCTGGTGAGAGGGCGGGGCAGGGGCTGTGGGCGGGGCTGTGTATGGCCGGAGGGGCGTGGTCCGGGCGAGAGACGGGTTCCAGAGAAGATCTGAGTTCGAAATCTGAGACGGCGGGGCGCGGACAAGCAGAGAGGAAGTGAGCGCCGTGGAGGGGCCGGCCCGCCTGGGCTTCAGGTGCTGGCTCTAGGACCGCCCGAGGCGAAGACGCTGGGCCAGCCCGCCCCACATATAGTTCTCTCGGGGATGGACGGCGGGGCCTGGGATGGGCTTTCCAAGGTGTCTGCGGGGGACAGGCCGCGGGCGCCTGCTGGGGTCACTTGAGAGACCGCCTCTAGTTCCCGCGGCAGGTGAGGGCCCGGTGCTGGTTTGCTCCTTGCACAGCTGAGTTCCAGGCCTCCGAGGCGCGGAGTGCCTGGGATCCCCGGCCTTGTCCAGGTATCTCACGGGAGAGGCGAGGGAGACACCGAGGGCGGTGTGACAGAGCCTGGGAACTATTTCAAAGAGTGACAAGGAAACACACTCATTAAGGAGGTGACTTAACTGAGATCTGACGACGAGCAGCCAGGCCTGTGTGTGGAGGAAGAGCAGGAGGGCTCCCTGAGCAGTCAGAGGTCTTAGAAGAGCACTTTGAGCTAGGTATAGGGGAACCTGCCTGTGATCCCAGCATCTCAGAGGCTGAGGCAGGAGGATCGCCAGTTTAACTCTACCTGAGCAATTTATCCAGACCCTGTCTCCAAAAGTGCAAAGTCCTTAGGTTGAATCCCTGGTTCCACCAAAAAGAAAAAAAATCACTTTGGCTGGCTGCTGAGCAGCTTGGGGTAGAGAAGGCCAGAGAGAATCAGAGAGACCTGTTGGGGGTGACTGCAGCAGTTCAAGCAAGAAATGGCGTAGTAAGTAGTAGACAAGGCTTGGGGTCCTTTGGGGGAACTGGTGGAACAACTGTGGGGCTGGGGGGGCCTTAGGATGGCTTTGGATGGATGGAGGTAGAGGTGTTTGTCCAAGGGGCTCTGAGCTCAAAAAGAGGGGGAGAGACGACCCCTCGCCATCCCTGGACAGGAGGGGATGACATGAAGTTCATGAGACTTGCATCCCTGCCACCCTGAGCCTGGAAGGGACCACGGAGGGGGAGGGGGCCCCTGTGCGCCAGGACCACCTGCCAACTGGGCAAGGGACACCCCACATCTTTTGGGGAACGGCTGGGACTTGTTAATGGAGCAGACCTGGGGCTGGGGCCTTCCCTGTCTTTTGGCCTGAACAGCTGGACAGATGATGGTGCTAATTCCTAAGGTGGAGAGGCAGGACCGGGAAAGTCAGAGGGTCTGTGCTGGCTCTACTGGAGCTGCCTGGAGGCCTCGCAGGGGCTGTGTTCAAAGGCCGTGTGGACCTCGGAATCCGGAGCGCCAAGGGGAGGGCAGGTCGGGGTGAATACATGGGGTTCACTGGCTTCAAAAGCTGTTCAAGAAGTCCTGACTCAGGGGACACCTTTTCTGAAGATTCTGCTTATAAAGTTTGTTTGAAATTCTATTTTAGTCCTTCCACTCTTCTTGTTTTTGTTTGTTTGGTTTTGTTGACAGGACATCACCATGTAGCCCAGGCTGGCCTCGAACTTGTAATCTTTCTGTCTCAGCCTCCTGAGCACTGGGATTACAGGTGTTCACCGCCATGTCCGGCTCAGTCCATCCACTCTTGTGCGCTCATTCTGTGCTTCCTGAGCCCCAGGTGTTAGGCGCTAGACACAGGGCTGTGCGTGAGACGTTCCTGCTGTCCGGGAATTCTCAGTCGATCCCAGAAGCACTTCGGGAATTTACAGCACAAGGAGCAGAGAATGGAAGGCAGAGCGCCGGTGGGAGAGGGGCTGAGGGCAAAGAGGAAGGCGAGGGCTGGGGGTCCGGGAAGGCTTCACAGGCAGGGTGCCTGCGCTCAAGGGATGAGAGGGGAGGGGCTCGCTCCCTGCACGGAGGGTGCTGGGGGGCGGAGGGCGGAGCAGGGAGGGAAGGAAAGGCGGCGGTGCCGTGGTCACTACGTGGAGGCCGTGCCTAACACTGTCTGTCTACAAGGCGATGCCGGGCGTTCCCTCTGGGGTCAGCCGCCAGACACTGGCAAGTCAGGGAGCCTCCTCCCCAGCCTCCTGGCTGTCGGTCCCGCGGGCCCAGAACCTCTCCCCGGTAATTGCTTTCCATAATGTGTTTGCTCCAAACCAATTTCACGCCTCCGTGAGGACTCCGCCCTGCACCGGAGGCGCGGACCTCCCCACCACCAGCCTGCCCGCGTGTGCACGCGTGGGCTCACACACAGCACACATGCAGGGCGACAGATGCACTGGCACAGCAAAAATGCAGGAGCCTACACGCACGCACACCAGACTTTAAGACACTCGTGTCCAATCCCGCCCCGCTCGGCGCCCAGAGCTTAGCCCGCTCTCCGGGCGCGTTCCTTTGCCCTGCGCACGTTCCCCTGCCTAACGCCAGGGGTCGCTGCAGCAGCCCGCGCCTCCCTCGCGGTGACTGCAGTCGCGCGCTGCTGCCAGCAGAGGGGACCCGCGCGCAGAGCCCGGCGCTGCCCACAGTGCGCGGACGCTGTCCCGCCAATGAGCGAGCCCGAGGTGTGGACCTGTTGGCTCCGACTTCAGAACACTTTGCTCGTTGTTAGCATCCCAGGCGGGGATCCCAGTGCCTGGAGAGGGCGGGTGATGAGGTCCGACACAACCAGACGAGTTCCGTTCGGGGATGCGGGAGGAGAACCGGAGTTTCCGGCCGGAAAGGAATTTGCGAGCCACAGCATCTGTCCTTGGTACTGATGGCGGAGAAAGCGACGGTGCTGGGGGAGCCGCCGATCTTCGGGAAGCCGAGTCCTCCTGTTCTGGGCCACTCTGCCCTTGGCCTGCGCACGGCTGGAGGAGCTCATTACGGACGGCATCTCCGCGTATTCACGGGATCCGTGGCTTTTGGCTGAAAAGTACAAAGTAATCAGTGTCTTGCACACAAGGGGAAGCGGGAGGAGGCCCAAGTCCCCTGGTCCGGCGAGGGGCGGGTCCTTTTACTTCCAGAAATGGGCTTTGCATTTGCCACGTGGCCTCCGACCCACACTGGAAGAATATGAATACTGAGTGTCAAGGACCCCGAAAAGCTACACTTCATGACCCCAGCGTGGCAACGGGACAGATTGAACGTACATGGGTTAGAATACACAGTGTAGCACACAAGGTCTCACAAGGGCAAGCCACACAGGTCAGTACCAAGTCCCCAAGGTCTCGCTCGTCTCAGTGCAGAGATGGTGACCCACCCACCAAGCTATAACCCTGTATTCTCTCTGCCTGCTTGAATGAAGAGTCCACTTTTCCTCATAGCTTTGAGCAGTAGCTCTTGTCATGAGCTAAGTGACATCTTCAAGATCAGAGACTCTTTACGCTTGACAATGCAGGGTCCGTTCTGTACCACCAGTGAGTGACAGGCTTCCTTAAGTGGCCCTTTACTGGTGAGCCTGGCGGAAGGGCAGTTTCAATATATGTCCTTTTGAGCTTTTGGAATTTTGTACTGTCTGATTTTATTACCTATGCAAAAACTGAATGTAATTACTTTTAAAAATGGTTCTTCTTCATGCTTTATTTGATTGGCTCAGAAACTGCTCATCCGGCTTTAATTGCAGTGATTGTAGCCGAACTTCTCTCCAGGATTTATCAAGTCAATAAGCCCCTCTTATGTAGCCAACCCTGTAAAACCATCACCCCAAGCACTTGACCTCACACTTTGTAAGTACAACGCACTTCTGAGGTCTGGTCCTCCATGTCAGCGTGGTGAAGTGCTTGGTTAATTTCACAGAGTTGTTCTGAAGATTATATTTAGACAGACTTCATCCTACCGCTTTAACGGTGAGTTAGGAGTTCCCAGAACCAAGGGACATCTTCCTTCTCTGTGGTGAATGTTCCCCCAGACTTGTCCCTTAGAAGTTTCTCTGAGTTTAACAGAGAGCCCAAGGTGGATCAGAACTGCTCGAAAGTGACACTGTACCATTCACTTCGCTGGTGATTTGCCGATGGAGGAATAGCCCAAGAAAGGTCCCTTCTTGAGCCACCCTCTTCCTCAGGATCATACTGAGGACCGTGCCTTCCAGAGTGCTGATTTTAAAACCGTCAGCCTGACGACTGTGTTCACAAGACCAACACTCCTGATCAGAACAAATGTCATTAGGACTCAGGGTCCCTCCTGCCCTGTTCTGTCCCAGTAGGGCAGCTCTGGGGCTCTGGGCATAAGGATTTTTCCTCACCTGGGCCACACCCTTCTCCCTACCTGATGTGTGTCTTTGTAAACCCGCCTGGTTTTGCTCTTCTTTATTTTAACCAGCTCCACTCTCCCTGGCCCCACCTGAATCCAGTCTGCAAGTGCCCGCGTGATGCCCACTCTACCCGGCCAGGTTGGCCCAGCCCCTCTGCTGTCATCCCGCCCGTCTCTAGCCCGGTCTTACCCGATGACCTGAGCTGCCTATGTAGCCAAAGTGCCGGTGACTTTTGCCTGTGGATTGACAACTCCACTGCTGGGGGGGGCGGGAATCATAAAAGGCGCCACCATTTCTGTGTCTGAGAATGGGGGAGGTGAGCAGAGTCATCTGCAATTAGTGGATAATTAGCGTTGCTGACCCTCGGGGCTCATCAGCGCTCCTGGGGCCGGCCCCCAGCAATCAGCCAGGGCAGGTCGAGAGTGTCAGGCCCGGGAATGAATAGGGCTCATCAGCGGCGCGGGAGCCGGAGCCAATCAGGGAAATTAATAGCAGGAGAGGGAGAGAGCGAGTGAGGGAGACTTGAGAGACAGACAGACAGACAGACCGACAGACAGGAAATAAAGCTAAGGAATGAGGGGGGGGAAGAAAACAGTAAGACCGACTGGGATAGGGGATGAGAGACGGAAAAAGCTAATCAAATCAGAGGAACAGGAACAAAAACGAGGCTGGAGGGGAGCAGCGTGAGGGGAAGGAAGCGATGGTAGAGGATGGGAGGAAGGTGGCGGGGGCGAGGTGGAGGAACGGTGAGTGCTTGGCGGGGCGGCACTCGAGGAAACGACGCGCAAGGCCGGAGGAAGGGGTTAAGGGAAGTTGGCCCGGAGGAGCGACCGGCTAGTGCCCGGGGAACAGAGGCCAGGGATGAGGCCGAGCGGGTGGAAGGCTCCGCGGGCAGGAAGAGGCCCCGACCCCGGCCGGGCTCCGGGCCGCGCCGAGCGATCGCGCTCGTTCCTGCCGCGGAAGCGCGCGGAGGGGGCGGGGCGCG